CCTGGGTAAATAATCGAACATTCATTTAAAAAAAATATCTCACCGAGAAGGACAAGGTGGTTTGTGCCCCTCCTCTTCGAACCTCTTCAATCCACCTAGATGAATCCACACCCGCAATCTACGAGGTTCCGGTCTAAACAGAGTATCCTCTGGTAAACTAACAGCGTGCGAACTGGACAATCACCATTTTTCATGGCTAAATCACCATGTTTCTATGGGGTAAATCATCATTTTTCATGGTGAACATCACCCTTTTTCATGGCTAAATCAACTATTTAACTATGGCCATTTGCCAGTTCGCACACCGGCCACGGCGTCCCGGCGTCCGTTGTCACCGAGGCACGTCATGCGCTGCCCGTTGATCCAGGTTCCGTTGGAGCTGTTGTCTTGCATCAGCAGCATGTCGCCAGCACCCTGGCGGTGCTAAGCCACCAACAAAAAGGGGGCGAAACGGTGAGAAATCTGCGAAAAAACAAGATGAAACCCACGAACCCGAATGCTCACACGTTTGTTAATGGCACAGATGTCAAAACACATGGTTATGCAGTGACGCACAATACCTTTCTGCAATAGTTTATTTGAACAGTCTTGTGCATGTTTCCCTTGTTACCAGTCTGCAGTGTGGAGTGGAAAGTGTAGAGTGTAGAGTGTGGAGTGTGGGGTGTGAAGTAGGAGTGTGGAGTGTAAAGTGTGGAGTGGGGAGTGTAGAGTGTGTAAAGTGTAGAATGCGGAGTGTAAATTGTAGAGTGTGGAGTATGGAGTGTAAAGTGTAGAGTGTGGAGTGTAGAGTGTGGAGTAGGAGTGTGAAGTAAGGAGTGTGGAGTGTAAAGTGTGGAGTGGGGAGTGTAGAGTGTGTAAAGTGTAGAATGCGGAGTGTAAATTGTAGAGTGTGGAGTATGGAGTGTAAAGTGTAGAGTGTGGAGTGTAGAGTGTGGAGTGTGGAGTGTAGATTGTAGAGTGTGGAGTGAGGAATGTAAAGTGCAAAGTGTGGAGTGTAAAGTGTAGAGTGTGGAGTATGGAGTGTAAAGTGTAGAGTGCGGAGTGTAGAGTGTGGAGTGTGGAGTGAGGAGTGTAATGTGTAAAGTGTGG